GCAGAGCGGCTGGTAGAAATCTTAGGGGAAGTTAAAACCTACGTGGATATGAATGTTAATGAAAAGACTTCATATAAAACTCCATGGATACAGATGAAACTGTACTTACAAGGAACTTTGTAACCTAGAAATGCTCATATTTGGAGTGGGGGGAAATCTGGGAATTCTAAAACTTAATATTTCAACTTTTGAAATGCAGAGACCAACAGCAACAGGATTGGCAGCAAGCCTGTGTGGTAGCATCAGTTCTCTTAGTAAGCACATTCTGCTGACCTCTCTGCACAGCCCAAACCTCGGGCCTCTGAAACCAACAGGACACACAGACCTCTTGGAGAGTCAGCTCAGACCTGTGTGCTCCCCCTTTCAGTTGGGGTTGAAGACTATGTGCTAAGAAGCAGGCATCTTCAGTGGAGGCTACACTCCCTGCCATCAAAGACCCCACACTTGCGGTCTCTGATAGCAACAAGGCAGACCTCGCTAGGGGTCCACTTGGAGTATAGCCATCTGGGAATCGTTGGCCGTTGTGCTGATACACACTTCTACAGAAAGTTCCCTAGAATGGTGCCAGGAGGTGGTTCACAGAAGTGGAGACTGCTCCCCAACCACCTCAGGGCCACTGCAGGTCTGAAAACAAAAAGCCATCTTCTGGGTCCTACCACCCACTCCTGAAAGAGAGGACAGTCTGCCTGTGCTTCCCCTGGAGTGCCAGTTCAGAGATAAGCAGCCTCCACAGGGCAGAATAGGAAACCTTGGACAAAACCAGAGGACGGCGCTCCAAGGGGTCTGGGTGTGAGTTTTCTAACTGAAAAACTGAGTGCAGAGAGAGAACGGAGTCCTAATCAAAGAGAGGTGACAGTATCTCTGACGGACTGAGTGTTGTTTAGTTCTGTCAAGTCCATTCTGACTCATGACTGTGGAGGGTTTCCGAGGAGTGCCTGGTGGGTTTGAACCGCTGATTTTGAGGCCCAGTACTTATCCTACAGCCCCACACCAGGACAGGTTGATGAACGCACAAGATTTCCCCTGGTTGGCGGTGCCTGCTGGAGGATAGGCTGACTGCCACGTGCTTTTCGGTGTGTTTGGGAGAGATTGAAAACTGAAAAACGGAGTCTGGAACTTTCAAATCCCAATTACACTAATGAGGGAGAAGGAGCTATCACAAAGAGAGTTTATTGCAGAAAGCTGTGTAGGCAAAACCCACCAAAGACTGAGGGAAACAGAAAGCTAACACCTTCAAAAATTCCAATGTCTCAACAACAACAAAAAATCACAAGACACATTAAGAACAGCCAAGCTCTTAACGTCGGCACCACCAGGACTGCTCCAGAAACAGACAGTTCTACCAGCTGTCCCGCTGGAGAAAGATGAGGCTCTCTGCTCCCATAAAGATTTACAGCCTCGGAAACCCTGTACAGGGTCGCTATGAGTCGGAACCGACTCCATGGCACATAACCAGCAACCACAATAGTAGTAGCGGACTTCAATACACCACTTTCGATATTGAGCAGAACATCTAGAAAAAAAGATCAACAAGGGAGCAGAGGACTTAAGTACCACTAGAAATCAACTAGACCTGACAGACAGACATAGATGGAACACTGCATCTCGAAACAGCACCATAAGCATTCTACTCTTGCTCCGTGAGAGACCACACTTTAGGTCACAAAGCAAGTCTTGATAAATTTTAACACTGAAATTATACACAGTATTTTCTCTGACTTCAATTTGAGTGAAACTAGACACCAGTAACGGAATCGTTACCAACTGTTTTGGAGTGTGGGGCCGCTGTTCAAGTGTGCCTAGGCCGTGTCGCTGTCCCCCACAGCTGAGGGGCAGGGCTAGCAAGCTTCAGGGACAGAAGAATGGGGTCTTTCCACATTTGTTTTATCCCCGGGACTATTCACTGCTGTGTAGTCAACTTAATCTGATTTTAATATATCCATTCCATATTTCTTTTGTATTAGTGTTATAAATCTGTTTCTAGCCTTTTACTTTTTACCTATTTTTGTCATTTATTTAAAGGGGTATCTTGTAGAAAACCCACACTTGGGTTTTTCTTGTTTAGAATCCAATCTGATCATCTCAACCTTTGAATTCAAGAATTCAGACCATTTGCATTTAATGTCATGATATGTTTGGTCAAAAGATATCCTCTTGCTGAGGAGCTCTGGTAGCGTAGTGGTTACGAATCGGGCTGCGAACCTTAAGGTCAGCGGTTCGAAACTACCAGCCGCTCCGCGGGAGAAAGATGAGGCTTTCTACTCCCATAAAGATTTACACCCTCGGAAACCCTGTACAGGGTCGCTATGGGTCGGAACCGACTCGACGGCACTTAACAACAACAACAATTGAAACCTACCATGGATATTTCTCTACCTGTCTGAGTTACATTGTCTTTCCTTTTTCATTCCTTCTTTTGAATTAATTGACTTGGATTGGGGGATGTACTTTTTCACATCTTCGCACAATCAAGCCATTTCTGAGGTCAGGTTATTTGGATAGTTTGTCATGTTCCCCAGAGATTTCAGATTTCCTGGTACGTGTGACTGCATACCTACCTCAGCTTCCACTGGGTGGAATTAGGTGACAAAGAGGAAGGCTTGTCTTTCTAACCCCCTGCTTCTTCTTTCTTCCTGTAGAACCTGAGAACTCTATCAACCTGAACTCCATCTATAAAAAATTCCAGCCCTCACTGAATCAAGTAGACCCTAAAACAAAGGTAAGAGGGTCTAGATAAGATGTTCTGCCCCTATCTCTGCCCTAAGACCCCCTCTCTCCTCCCAGCATTGTGGGGCCTTCAGGGAAGTAAAGCCATTAGAATACTACCAAGTATAAGCATAGCTCAGGCGGGGGACAATAGGCAGAGGGGAAGAGGGAAACAGCGGGGTGAGATCCACCTCACCCAGTCCACCGAGGCTTCAAACTCAGAGGGTTCCTTCTCCACTAAGTGTGTATTAAAAAAGTTTATTTTAATTTTTAAACACACATAAAATTCAAAAGAATAATGGCAGCAATTACATATTCCTGTATAGATCAATGATGTTCAACATGTTGGCATGTTTGTATTGTGTATGTATTATATACACAATAATATATAAATAAAAATAAGGAGCTCTGCCAGAGTAGTGGTTACGAATCGGGCTGCTAATGTCACGGTTAGCAGTTCGAAACTGCCAGCTGTTTCACGGGAGAAAGATGAGGCTTTCTGCTCCTGTAAAGATTTATAGCCTTGGAAACCCTGTACAGGGTCACTATGAGTTGGAACCGACTCCACGGCACATAACAACAACGTATATTATATATGCATATGGGAGCGAGATGGTTCTGTAGGATAAGCATTGGACTGCAAACTACAAAGCCAGTGGTTTGAGCCTACCAGCCACTCCATGGGAGAAAGATGAGACTTTTCTGCTCCCCAAAAGATTCGGTTTCAGAAACCCTATACAGAGCTGCTGTGAGTTGGAACCAATTCATTGGAACTTAAGAACACACACGTATATATATGCCGATTATATGCACTTATATAGATACCAGTGAAGGCATACTGGTGGTGCGATGGTTAAAGCACTCAGCTACTAACTGAAAATTCAGCTGTTTGAACCCAGCAGTGGCTCTCTGGGAGGACAGACCTGATGATCTGCGCCCATAAAGATTACATCCTTAGGAACCCAATGGTGTAGTTCGTCTCTGTCCTAGAAGGCCAGTTTAGATGGACTCAGTGGTGCACAACAATAATTGCATATGTCATTGTTGTCATTGTTAAGTGCTGTATACAGCTGCCTATATAAGGGAGCCCTGAGCCCCGGTGTGGCGCTGCGGGTTAAGGCGTTGGACTGCAAGGTCGGTGGTTCAAGCTCACCAGCTGCTCCTTGGAAACCCTATACAGGGTTGCTATGGGTTAGAATCGACTCGACAGCACTTAACAAAAACAACAACATAAGGGAGTCCTAACGGTGCTGTGGGGTTTTATGTTGTTGTTGAGTACCATAGAGTCGGTTCAGACTCATAGCAAACCTGTATAGGGTTTTCAAGGATTTGGGAATCTTTGCAGGAGCAGAAAGCCTCATCTTTCTCCCGCAGAGTGGCAGATGAGCTCAAACCTTGAACCCTGTGGTTCGCAGTCCAGCGCTTATCCTATGGAGCCACCGTTCACTCTGTCTGTCTCTGTCTCTCTCTATATATATATTCCTGGTGTGGGGCTGTAGGATCAGCACTGGACTGTGAACCACGAGGTCAGCAGTTCAAACCCACCAGCTGCTCCTCAGAAACCCTATACAAGGTCTCTAGGAGTCAGAACTGACTCGATGGCACTTAACAACAACATATATATATAGAAGTCAGTTCATGTTGAGCGTTTCTTCAGCTTTTCATGCTTTCAAATAAGTATCAGACTCATCGTGGGTTAAATTCTCACAGAATTCTCTTTTTCCAGGTGCAAATTCAGAGGCCTCAGGTAGTGATGACGTCTATTTAAGGAAGAGGCAGTTTCTCATGGAACTGTGGAGCCTGGGAGTGAAGAGTCTCCAGTTCTTCTAAGCTTGGTGGATGGTGTAACTAGAGTTGGTGTTTACCTAGCTCAGTAACTCATGGGACCGCTCCCCATGGGCCACCTCCTGTACCAGAGTCTTTCAACAATACTTGTTATAAAATTTTATCACAGGATACTATGTGATAAATACAGGTACAAATTGCTGAAATTCCATTTTCCTAGATTAAATGAATACTAATGACAACATTATCTTGTAAGATCTTTCTATATTGAATCATAACCTTATTATTTACAACCTTATAAGTTACATTATTAGTAACTGGGCAGAAGTATTTTTTTCTTTTTCTCCATCTTTTCCTTTAATTACAACTGTATTCTCAACAAAGATACTGATTAAGTTAAAAAATACTACTTACCACAACATTGGAGCGAAAACATCAAAAATTTTTAACAAATGAGCACTATAGAGACACAGCAGCAACGAAAACAATAGCACATGTGAAAACAAAACCACGTGCTTCAAAGCTTCACTTAATTGGGTCATAATGACAGGAGCTCATTAGGAGGTTCAAAAAGTAAATATGCCTTTTAGGTATATTAATATATGTAAGCTGGGCTTATAAAACAATATTCTTGTTGTTGTAACTAACTATAGGGATATTTTATGAAACAATAATAACTTTTTACTGAAACACTGCACAAAAATTTTATGGACATTTTGGTGTCCGCATCCTCATACACACACTGCCCAAGTGATGCCACTGGCTTGGTGGAGATTTTTCTCACTGGGAGCATTCCACAGGAACTTGATGAGAAATTACCTTACACTTATAAGGAGGAAGAAGAGGAAGGCCACAGTACTGGGAAACTCACATGTTGTTGTTGTTAAGTGCTGTCGAGTCGATTCCGACCCATAGTGACCCTGTGCAGGGTTTCTGAGACTGTAAATCTTTACAGGACCAGAAAGCCTCATCTTTCTCCCGCGGAACAACTGGTAGTTTGGAACTGCTGACCTTAAGGTTCGCAGCCTGATTCGTAACCACTACACTACCAGAGCTCCTGGTGTTCCTATGGGAAACTTCCCACAGGGAGTTGCCATTATTTCAGGCAAGGTCCTCCTGCTCATTGCGCGGAAGATCTTCTTCCCACAAATCCAATTTCAGCACCAAGGACAGTATTCCACCCAACTCACAGACTTGTGATCCTGGTTTGAACCGCACTGTTTGGTGGTTCAAACTCATCAATTGTTCCTCGGAAACCCTACACAGGGTCGCTATGAGTCAGAACCAACTCTATGGCAATTAACAACAACACCAAAACACTTAACAGAGAGTGTGGTGGCTCTGTAGGATAAGCACTGGACCATGAACCACAAGGTTGGAGATTTGAGTCCACCAGTAGCTCAGTGAAAGACACCAGTAGCTCAGTGAAAGACACATGAGGCTTTCTGCTCCTGCAAAGGGACCACCACCAACAAACAATGAAGGGCACTTTAGGGTTTATAAAATACTTATAAAATAATATACATATATATATATATATTTATTAAAAATACCTGTGAGGGGTTTTATTTTTTAATATATAGTATTTACCTCTGGTTACTTAGGAGGATTTTGTATATTTTAAGTACATATTTTTTATCAACTGATGATTTTTGTTAATAAATGTAATCATATTTGAGATATGTAAAAACAATAAAAGCAATTTCATTAAAAACATCATGGGTCTCTCGCCACACCCTATACAAGCTCCTGTTTCTCACCTGCCAGGTTCTTTATCCTCCTGTCCTACAGGGTTAGGGTATGATGGTTTTAGCCTCAAGGTGACAACAGGGAAATCTGCAACCAGGATGAGTATGACTCCCTGACCTTAACCAGCATCATCTGTGCTGCTGAGGAAACCAAGAGACAGGACCCACCCACCCACTCACATCAGGGACTCCCTCCCTACTGGTTGAGAACCTGACTCTCCAAGTTCTCCTTCTGGGAGTGAGCGTAATGTTTCTTCCCATAGATCTGTAAAGATGTAGCCAGAGTTCTATTTCCAGCTTTGAACTCAACTCCTATGTTCAATTTGAGAAAATCATTTGGACTCAGGTTTGTCTTTTGCCAAATAAGTTCCCCTTGTCACTGCTTTTTAAGAATTCTGGGAGCTTTATTATGATTCTAGCCAAGAAACTCAGGGTTCCGTTTGTTCTAGAAGATCTCTCCAGCAAGCTTCCCCCTTTAACCCTAACAGAGAGTACAGACTGTCTCCTCATGAATGCTCAGAACACTGCAGGCATGTCCCATCTCACTGACAAGCTTTTTGATCTCCACCTTGAGAGGTCACTTGTTTCATTTCCACATTTGCCATCAAAATTTCCTAAAACTGGCAGGTACCCTTAATCCTGTCTCTTCCCCGGAAATGTACAAAAAACTTTATGGTCCAAAAATTTTAAAAATCTCCTTAAACTAGGCTGAACTCAGATGTCTTTCCTTCTAGGGCTGTCCCTTCCCCCGGTTTAATCTCCCATGGGCTCGGGCTATTGTGGTTGTGTGTATGTGTGTGTGCGGGGGGGCATTTCAAAGGGATGTGGACCAGGGTCTTGCTCACAGTCAGTACTCAGTTACTCACTGACAGATAATTGGCATTAAAAACACTTAGCTGTTTGGTGAAACAGTCAACTTAGGCTGAAAGGAATATACAAGCATAAGTCCAAAAGTGTTACTACTGTGGTTCCAGTTCATTCATGCATAGATTTATTCCAAACAAAACACAAACATGTCTCTGAGATCAGTGGATGATTATAATCAAGTTCTCTCGGTAATACATGTGTCTTAGTCTCATGAAGGTGCTTTCCAGAAAAAGGTTCAAGCAAAGCTTCTTAGGGCATCTGCTGAGCAGGCTAAATTCAAGGCTGAGAAGTCATGGTGACTATTCTGGGGGTTCCAAAGTTATAATCTTGATAGATTTCGTCAAAGAACACAGGATGTGTTTATCAGGAAGACGTTTTAAGAAAATTTAAATCTGCATTGTTGAGAAAAAGTCGGGAAACTTACACAGAGCAATGCACCTGCTCATTCTTTGAGGGTAGCAGGGATCATCTTATGAGAATTTCATTGAGAAATCTTACTCCATCCAACCTACAGCCTTGATCCTACCCCTTCAGATTTTTTTTTTTTTTGCCCCTAAAACTCAAAGGAACATGATCTTAGTCCTCCGAAGATGCCCAAACCGTCACTTTGGTGTATAAATAGACGAGTGAAGAATTATTTGGAGAAAGATTCGTAATATGGAAACACCACCTTCTGAAGTGTATAGACCTAAGTGGAGGATATGTCAAGAAATATTAGGAGAACAAACA